CAAAAAAACAACACAAAAAAAAAAAAAAAAAATAAAAGAACAAGCAAAACGAGCGAAATTTCTTGCACAGCGTGGAAGCAAAGCCGCTGAGACTGTGCCAATGCACAGCGACATGGAACAAGAACAACAACAACTACAAAAAAAAAAACAACAACAACAACAACAACAGCAACAAGAATAACAAGAAGAATGGCTTAGTCGGTGGTTGTTGTTGCTTTGGCCATGTCGCTGCGCAGGGGCAGTGGCAGGGGCAGGGGCAGTAGTTGCCGCAAGTGCGACAGAGAGAAGAGAGCCATGCAGAGCAGTGTCGCTGCCTGCTCACAAAACTAAAATTATTGAAAACCGGTTCGCGGACTATACGGTTCTTTTTTGTTTTGTTCTGTTTTCAAAACTCAGGCTGTAGCCTGGCGACAAAAATGTCACATGCGATATCCGCTGTGCAAGATGTGCGAAGTTTATTTTCAGCGAAGTTTTTATTTATTAATATAATGGAAATATAATGGAATATGTATGCATACTCCTTCCCTGCCCCAGTACGAGGATTAATGCATAATGGAGTTAAAGTTGTGAGCATCTATTTATTTATTTTAATTTAACCCTTCATTAAGGCATACACCATTAAAAAGAAAGGCAATAATATACTAGGTCCTGCAAATATTAGGCATTGTTATAGTTAAAATATTTTTGATCAAGGTAATGTTTTTATTACAGCGAAGTTTATTTATATGTCTAAATATCGCTAAAAGTTAAATGGTAGTTATTTACACGCTGCTTTGAGACATTTTAAGTCATATAAACTGATAAAACATTATCATTTATAATTTATCATTTGTAAACAGGTATATCACAGAACTTTTAGTGATGTCAGTTTCAGGCTTCAAACTAATTTGCGATTTGTCTCAAAACAAATAAAACCATAAAAACATAAATCTGTGTATTTCGAGAGTGTAACGATCTTAACACATTTATTTTAAGTCGATGATTTAAAATTAAATACGCGCGTTTATTTGTTGCGATTATTACGTACTGTAACTATGTACATGGGTCAGATGTGAAGTTGGCATAAAACATATGTATTTATATACTTTTTTTTTTTGGCCTATAACCAACTTATATTATATGTGATACCTTAAAATAAATATCAACTTAATATGGGTACATATGTATGTGTATATATGTACATATGTACATTGTTTGTACACAAGTTTAAAACATTTGCGACATTCTTGTCGCCTGCGCGTCGACGAACAATTGCTTTTCCTTTTATTCTGTTGTCGCCGTCGCCGTCGCCACCGCTCTAATTGGCGCTTTATGCCCAAAGCCGGTGTCACACAACCCCCCTTACCCCTCCTTTGACACCACTCGCACACCCCCCGCATTCGGCCAACTCTATTTGCCATCATTATGAGCATAGAGATCAGCCACACTGCCGCTGGGCAGGAAGCGGGCGTCCAGCGAGAGGCGATTCATGCGGCCATAGACCAACACCTCGCTGATGATGCGCTCGGCGAAGAGCCGCTGATCGGGCCGCATGTTGCGGAAATGGGCTGCCATTCGCTTGCCAATCAAATCGCATTCGCTCTCCACATGCTCCATGCTGCACTCCAGCATTTGGCGGCGCTTTTTGCCAGACGCTGCGCTGCTTTCATCATAGTCGCCTTCGGCGTCGCCGTCGCTGCTGCGCTGGCGTCGACGCATTTGCTGCGCTGCAATGCTGCGACGCGGCTGCTGCTGCTGCTGCTGCTGTTGCGGACGCGCTGTTCCGTAAGGATGTTTTCCGTTGCCGACGCCGCCGCCGACAGCGCCGCTGCTGCTGTTGTTGTTGTTGTTGCCGCTGCTGCTATTGGAATGTTGCTGATATTTGATTTCCATTTTTAGATCAGATTTGTGTCGCGCCTCGGCTAACGCTTCGTGCTCCACGTCCGTGTCCAGAACGCCGTCCGCGTCAGCTATGCCCTCGGCATCGCCGTCGGCCTCGCCCTCACCCTCACCCTCGCCCTCGCCCTCGATGACTAGCATGTCCTCCTCGGGCGGGAAGGGCTCCGCGAAAATGTCCTCGTCCTGCAAATATTCATTTCATTTCAGCAGTTAGTCGACTAGCTGATACCCTGTATATATTATATTAGATATATATGTAGCTGATGTATGTATTATGTTATAGTTGCTATTGGTCGACTAGCAGATACCCTTTAGCTTGTTTTAGAGCGGCATAAGCTTTTTAAATTTTTTTTAAACGCATTCCAGATTGTTTTACAGGGTATGATTAGATGAATTTGAGAAAACACACGTGAACAGCTTGCGGAAAGAGTGAAACGACAAGCTTAAAATAGCTGTAATTATGTTAAAAGTAAAATTTTGATATTTGTTTTGGCTTTGCAGGGTATATGCAATGTGTAATAAGTGGTCGCTGCGCTAAGTAAACGATAAACTGTTCATACGCAATTTTATGACGTTTGTAATCTAAATGCCAGAGTTATGACAGGCCACAAAAGTGATTATAGCTGATCTCTCTGCTAAATACCCTGTATTTTTTTTTTTTTGACTACTCACTGGTTCAACCTCAACCACATTCTCATTGTAGGTCAACTCGACGCGTTGCTTTAGATATTCCGGCTCGTTATCAGCTTCATTTTCGGTATGTTGTTCATGTTTCGATTCTGGTTCCGGTTCCAGTTCCGGCTCCGGCTCCGCATCGATCAGTGTCTGCGCCTCGCCGGTCTCCTGATCGTAGAGAAACTCGAGCTCATTGAAATACCAAAGCGATGGCACATACTCCTCGCCAGCGAAATGGCCGTGCATCGAGGATTTACTCTCGAGCACCTTGCGCAACTCCCGGCGGTAGGAGGTGCGCAGATTGTTGATCTTGCGCTTGACCATATGGATATTGGCCGTGGGATCCGTGGTGAGCATGTGCGCCAGCAGTCTGTCGTATGAGCGCGCTTTCAGCTTCCGATTGCGATAATCTTTCGAGTTTGTCAGCCAGAGTTCCGGCATGGAGCGATAGAGACGAAAGAAATCTTTCCAGAAATCCGTATTGCGCACATGATGCGAGTCCATGGCGAGCAATTAAAGAACTGTCGTCCAACGCGGTCGTACGACGCGACAAGTATCAAGCATGCGTCGTCGTCCAACCCATACAACATCCAACACACTCACACACACACACACAAGCACATTGAACAGCCAACCCCCTGGCACGCTCGCTCTTGCTCTTGCTCTCTCTCTCTCTCACGCTCTCTTCTCGCTGTCATACTTACATGCATGCTCGCCTCGTCGAGACTGTCGTCCAGGCTTTGGGTCTCGTGTTTGATGTACGGCGTTGTTGGCACATTTAAATTGAGCACCGGCTTGAGGAAGTCCATCATATGGAACCACCAGAGACGCGGCTCGTAGCCATCGTATGATGATTGTATCTTCCGGATCTCGCGCCTGTAGCAGCAGCGCAGCGAATTGATCTTGCGCTTGACGTCCTGTACGCTGGCCTCACGATTGACGCGTCTCAGGATTTTCAATAGCTCCTGATAGCCGGGCGCCTTCTTTTTCTTCGATAGATAATCTATCGAGGCATTGTCCCATAGCGCCGTAAAATGCCGATAACAGCTAATGAACTCCTCCATAACCTCCTTTTCATCATACAAATTGGGCGGCGTCATCTGTGCGGTGCAGTGGCTCCTCACGAACTGAAAACTGAATGATTGCGACTGAAAGAGAGTGTCATGCAAATACAACGTGTATGAACGACATGGCGAACTGTTGGTGCTTGCTGCTTGCTGTTTGTTGTTGTTGTTGCTGCCATTGCCGTGCTTCGTATACTGCTTCTTCTTCTTCTTCTTCATTTTCTATACCATTATCTTTATTATCATTTCTGCTGTTGCCTCTTAAAGCGGGCAACGGCAACATCGCCGTCGTCGTCGTCGTCGTCGTCATTGCGTCTCTGCTTCTTCTTGCTATTGCCTTTTGTTGTTTGCTTTTACCATTTGCCTTTTATTTATTTATGTTATAAACAGCAACGTTTGCGCTGCCGTTGTCGGCGTCGTCGTCGGCGTCGACGTCAGCGTCACCGCAGTCGCACAAGTGTATGGGGCGCTGGCGCGCAACGTTGCCGCACTTCACAGGTTCGAACATGTGCCCGTTGTGTGAAAAATGGCAACGTTGCGGCGTTTAGAAATGTTGCATGACAGCAATGAGGCCACCGCCGGCCGGCCGTGTGTGTTGCACAAAAGTCAACAGCAGCAGCAGCAGCAACAACAACAACAACAATGATAGCAGCAGCAGTCGGCGGCCGCCTAATAATAACAACAAAAGCAACAACAAAACAATATTAATAGACATGAAAGATTAGCGCGCGCACAGAAACAAGCAGGCCAGCAATACACATACATACATACATACATACATATGTATATGTATTTGCAAACGGTTAGTTGAATCGAGCATCCAACGTGCATGCTGCAGCCAGGCTGCAGGTTGTGGGCTGCGCTGCGGCAGCGCTGCGCTGTTGTCGATTTGCTTCAGTTGTGTTTGTGTTTCACTTTCACTGCAAAATTGGCGAAAGAGAAGCAGAAGAAGAAAAAACCAAAGAGGGAAAAACAAAAGATTTGTCAGTCAGCGTCAGTCAAAGTTGTATGCAACAAACGCAACAACATTATCAACAGTAGCGGCCGCACATTGTGCGCAGCATTTTTAATCATACAAAACCACACACATTTTTACATATTGCAAATTTCAATAATACCAATATAGCAAAGGTTTTTATTTCTAATTAAATCATTTGTTAAATTACATGCCATGCAAATTAACTTTTAAACAATTATAAAATTTCTTTAAATTTATCTACTTGTCAAATAATATGAAAGCTATGCCTGAATTTTGATAGAAAATAGCTATGCCTAATATTTTGGCGCGTCAGTGTTGCGAACGAACGTGCTATGTTGGATGTTGGCTTGCGGGCGCTTTTGCCATGCTGTTTACCACACTAGGCGCAAGACAAGCGGGCTGTCAAACTGTTTGCGCAAACGGTTTGAGTTTGATGTTGTTTGCTTCGCGTTACGTTCGCCTTCGATGTCGAGCCACAGAGCCAAGCTCCGGTACAACATCAGCAGCAGCAGCAGCGTCGCCGTCGTCGTCGTCGTTGTAGATGTTGTAGATGTGTTGTTCAACTCCTAAAAACTCGGGTGTGTGCAGCGCGTGCAGATCATGTGAAAATTTCACGACGTTTGCAGATACGTTGCGAATTTATTTATAACAAATTCACGTAAAAAATTATGAAAATCGTCGCTCTAAAACAAAACCAACAACAAGGTAAATGTGCAACGCAGTAAAATTGCCAACAGCTACGGAAAGAAAAAATAAACGAAACAAGAGCCGCCCCTACGAAAAAAAAAATGAAAAAATAATAAAATAAAATAAAGTAAAATAAAAGAGAAAAAAATGTAAAAAGTTGTGCCGCTGTGTCGCCTACATGTGACTGTATTGTACATATGTGTATTTATACGTGTATATATATTATATATATATATATGTGTGTATATACATATCTATATATAATATATATGCTTATATAGATGTATGTGTGTGTATTTTTATAGCTGAGCTTGCCGCTGTATGCTGTATGTGTGTGTGTGTGTGTTTAGGCAAAATGGATAAGAAAAAAACACATTGGAAAATTGCGTCGCGTTTTACTGCAGACCAGCACAACTGCCCCACGCTACGTTGTTGTTGCCTATGTGTGTTATATGTATACATATATAATATATATGTATGTATATACATGCATGTACATATATGCATATATAATTTTTTTTTCTTTTCTTTTGTTGCCCAAATGCATTGCTGATCTATGCGCGAATATTAAAGTGAAAAGAGGCGCAAATAAAAACGCAGCGCAAATTGTTGGAATTTTTTATCTGTGTGTGTGTGTGTGTGTCTTGTACGCGCGCTCTCTCGCTCTCACTCCCTCTCTTGCGCACTGCCTGTGTTCTTTTTTGTGCGTTTGTGTGTGTGTGTGTGTGTGTGTCCCTCTCCGTTTCTGCTGCTGCTGCTGCTGCTGACGTCGTCGTCTGCGTTCCAATTCTAATTTTTTTCAATTTTTTCCTTGCTTTTGTGTGCGTGCGTCTGTGTGTGTGTGTGCTTTTTTAAAGTGGCATAGATTGTTTTTTTTTTTCAATTCTCTTTCTTTTTTTTTTATATAATAAATTGAAATTGTTTTTTATGCACAGCTGGGCCAGTTTAGTGGCGTGTGCCAGTGTGTGCAAAAGAAATATTTAAATGGAAGTGTGGCATAAAAAGCGCTAAACGCGAGCCAAGCCCCACACACACACACACACACGCACACACACAAATGCATTGCCCATGTGTGCAATTTGCTTAAAACTTTTTTGCGGCACCGCCCTGCGCCAAAAAGCCAAAGTTTTTGGCCACCAGACCCCCGCCCCCCCCCCTCCCTCCACTACAGCCTGCCTTCCTTATATACAACACACACGCACGCACACAGTTATGTATGTATGTATATGTACAGCTCACACACACGCACACATACTTATATCATACGTGTATGCGTAATTCAATTTTTTTTACATATTTTTTTTGGCTTGTCGAAATCAATTCCTGAGCATCAAGAAAAATCAATAAAAATCATAATAATAAAATATATGTATATATAAATAAAAGAATAAGAGTTAACCGTTACGTCGCCTCGTTTTTTCGTGTTGTTTTTTGTGTGCGCTTTGCCTGAAAAATTTTTCCAAGAATCGTTTTTGAGATAACAAATGCAAATTCGAAATCAAATTAAAAACCCGTCTAAAATCGAAGTCGAAAATGATTAAGAAGAAGAAGAAGAAGATGCGGTAGAGTAAGAAGATGAAGAGGAAGCAGAAGCATAATAGCAGTTAAATATAAACCTGAAACGCGCGTTGAAATTTATTGTTGTTCTTTTTTTTTTGTTGTTTTTTTTACATAAATCCATTTACACATATACATACACATATATATATGTATAGATAGATGTATGTACATGCACATATATATATATGTATATGCAAATGGAAATGTCGTTAATATTTCCATTTGTAAACCCAGCTGGCAACGCCGAACGCTTTTTGGATTCGTAAACCCAACAACATTTTGTCATGGTAAGTTAACCAGAATGTGTTTTAATATAGTTAATATGTTAATATATGTATGGTATTAGTATGTTAATATATGTATACTTAAATAAGTATAGAACTCGAAATTGGCTTTACTTTTAAGGAAAAGCTAGTTATTGGATGAGCTGTAAAGGCCCATTGACAATATGCTACAGTTGATTGCACTCAGAGCCGCTTTTCATTTAGCTTTCCGTTTTATATTCGAACTCCCGAATTTTACAACACAACTTTTAGGGCAATTGGTAGTTCCCAGGACCTGGTAGATGCCCGTTAACCCGGCTCTGCCCTTAACCCCCCAAAGTTTGCAAAGTTTTCATACTCCCCATCTAACTTCTTGTATTACTCATCCGTTAACCATACACCATTTTCTATTCAAATAATATTGCTATATAGGGGAAAAGCTCAATCCTATATCATGCTGAAGGTATATGATATATAATACAGTACATATTAATCTGTGTATATGTATATACTATATTATATATAATATAATAATAAATTAGACTCTTCTTTTCCATGACATAGAACTTTGGTATAATTTAAACCATTTTAAACATTTCCCAAAAGTTTCAAAACCGTTTTATCGAGAAATGTAATACATACAGAAATATAATATTATATATACATATATACATATATATATATGAATATACAGATTAATATGTACTATATTATATATCATATATCTTCTTTTGCATTATCTGGATTGAACTTTGCCTCTATATAACAATATTATTTAAAAGCAAAGTTTAAGTTTAATATGAACTTTTTCAAACATTTTCCAAGTATTAAAACTGTTTTATTAAGAAATATATAAATGCGATATATATGTATGATATTTCTTTTAATATTATTTACCTGCTCAGGCGCCATCTTGAGGCTTAATTTGTTTAAAATTTGATAGAGCTTGAGGTATTTCTGTAAACTGAACAATTTTATATTGGGTAGCTGTAGCTGCTCATTTCACATTTTGACTATTTCCCTATCTCCCAGATTGGAAATAATCGCATTTCTAAAAGTAGAGCCCTGCGCTTTGGTATAAAAACACGATTGTGCGCCACGTTTAAGCTCTGAAAATCTTGTGAGGTTGGAACTTTAAACACTGAAGATATATTTATACGCAAGTCTGCACTTCCAATAGTGTGCTGCTAGGGGGAAGAAGAAGAAGAAATACAGTTGCTGATTCAAACTTCGGACTGCTCGTCCAGTCGCTGGTTAAAATCTTCATGTCCAGTCGCTGGTTCAAACTTTCGCTGGTTCGAACTTTGGAGTGCTTGAAAAGGTTCGAACTTTCGAGTGCTTCTTCAGTCGCTGGCTCAAATTTCCGACTACTTGTACAGTCACTGGTTCTAACCTCCGCCTGCTCGTCCAGTCGCTGGTTCAAACTTTCGCCTGCTTGAACAGTCGCTGGTTCGAACTTTGGAGTGCTTGAAAAGGTTCGAACTTTCGAGTGCTTCTTCAGTCGCTGGCTCGAATTTCCGACTACTTGTACAGTCACTGGTTCTAACCTCCGCCTGCTCGTCCAGTCGCTGGTTCGAACTTTGGAGTGCTTGAAAAGGTTCGAACTTTCGAGTGCTGCTTCAGTCGCTGGCTCAAATTTCCGACTACTTGTACAGTCACTGGTTCTAACCTCCGCCTGCTCGTCCAGTAGCTGGTTCAAACTCCCAAATGCTTGTACAGTCGCTGGTTCGAACTCCCAAGTGCTTGTACAGTCGCTGGCTCAAACTTCCGCTTGCTTGTACAGTCGCTGGTTCGATCTTCCAATTGCTCGTGCAGTCGCTGGTTCAAATTCCCAAATGCTTGTAACGGCATTTCAGCGCTGAGATCTGGTTAACTTTTAGTCGGACGCTTTCAATACGAAATCTCGCATGGGATTTGCTCGCTTTAAACACTTCTTTGAACTGGTTGCGGAATGAGGTGCGGGGGAGAAGAATGGAGAGGAGGAGTGGAAATTGCAATTCGCAGGAAAATTTGTGTCCCTGCTTGGGATATCGAATTCGTGCAGCATACCATACATAATTGAATTGTGATTGACGTCAGCAACACGTAACCCTCGACTCGACTGTGCCTGCTCGGGGTTTAGTATTACAGTTATTAATTAGTCGAGATATTGATATAGGGAGATATAGAGAGAGTGCATTTATTGAGGCATTTTCTACATTCTGATTGATAATTTTCTTGGAAACTCTGCGTAATGGGATATACTTTGCGTTATGCGTGCGTGATTGCGCAATGTGGGAGTCCGTCCGTCCCCAACTAACTGTTCATCGGGTTTCCTTTAATTAAAACTCAAGACAATTTCCCAACTCCGTAATCGAATTGAATATCGAATTGCGATGTTGCATAAGAATCCTTCATCGGTCGGCGATGTTATAAGAAAATTGTGTATTCTAGTTGGGCTTTAAGCATTTTATTTTCATAATTTAATGTACTTAATAATTAGAAAGACACTCGTTTTTGTCGAACATTTATGAATAAATATATAATTGTTTCTTACTTCCAGTTATGATTGTGAAAGATTTGAACTCATTTCGTTTGATTTGATTTGATATCAAGGAACGAGTTTGTTTTCTTTCGGGCTCAGGTTCTTTATATAGATATATTTTTTGATCTTTATGTGTATGGGTTTATTTATAGCTTCTTCTACTTTTTCGACTTGCTAATTAGCATTTAAATTATGCAAATATTACTTCTGCTTCTTACTTCTTCTTTCGCTTCTTTCTTTTCTTCAAATTTCTCTTCTTCGCCTTATGCATATGGGTATATCTATATACTATATATTTATATATATATATATATATAGGTGTTGTTGCTATCAATATGGACAGACAGACGTGGCCTGCGCTTTTGTTGTGCCTTCGCTTCTCTTTGCGTCTCTCTCTCTCTCTCTCTCTCTGTCACTTTTGCTGCTTTTGGAACCGTCTCACGTAGAATTTCTTGTTCAACCGGTTTGTCATTTTTGTTGTTGTTGTTCTCCTTCTTATTATTATTATGATACTCGCCACCCCGTTTAGGTAACCCTGCCTAAGGTAACCCTGCACAGCATTTTATACCCTGGCAAAATTAAGCGTGTATAGACTCCTTTAAGCACGTGTGTTTCAGGTGATTACCTCCAATAGCCTATGGTCACATATGTATGTATATACCCAAATGATC